GAAAAATTGAGAACCGGTCACTTGATCGGTTTCGTTTTACCCCAAAACCGCTATTTGGCCAAAAACTGTTGATTTGGTCAGCAAACCACTAACCCGGGTGGTTAAACCGTTCGACCCGAGAATGGTTTTTGGCCATTTTTTTGGGTTTTTTAAAATTTTTAATTTTTTATGTCAGAGTGGGTCGCCCGTTCAGACTGGACAGTCAAACTATTCAACATAAGAACCAGACCCTATAACGGTTCCTTGTCCAGTCTGATTTTAAAAACCTTGATTTTAATGTTCCATATTTTCTTTATTTTAATATATTTTTGTAATTTTATTTTGAACTTCTACTAACATGGTCATTGGATTATATAAAGATTTTTTATATTTCACTCGGTTTGGATTGTTGAATCCAATCAAGTCTATTTACATTTTAATGAAATAGATTGGATTTGGATCTAGTCCATTTGTAAATGAATTCTCATTAGACTAGATCGGATTAGACCAAATCCAATCCAATTGACACCCCTAGGTCAAAATAGTACATACATAATACATACATGTGTTTATAAATTGAAATTATAAAATTGCATTTAATTTTTATTATCTGCGATAAATATACGCTTTATAATATATAAAATCCTTTGGGTGTCAGAAAATAGAAACATTTAAATAAACAAGACAAGTCTATGATAATGGAAACACATCGTATCATAGTCGAACCCAAAGAAATATTAACCAACCGAATGTTAATGGTTGGGGCAAAGTGGTGGAATACAAAATTGATATTTGTCACAAAATGAAAGAGGATGTTTGGTTCGTCGGTGTTTTTTCAATAAATGCTGCCACCTCAGCGTTTGGGTTGATAAACGTTTTATTGGGTTTGAAATAAGTGTTTGAAAACAATGATAAATGTTTTTTTCATTAATTTTCGTGAAATAGACATTTTGTGAAACCTGTAGCTAATAGCATATTGTTATGTATTGACCCGTATTGGTCGATACATATTGTTCCGGGACCTTTCCGATACGCCCCTACAATGGGTGTATCAGGGGTCTGACCGGTTTAGGGGATGAAGGGGCCCTAGACCGGCTCCYTTGAACCAGTTTTGAAAAAAAATAAAAAAAGTAAAAAAACAAGTATCGAAATACTCAATACACCCCTACCGACATATCGGATGTATCGATATTTTAAACCTTGACTAATAGGGCATTGACGTGTAAGTTGATTTGGCGTTTGAGGTTTCCAATTTGGTGCATCGCGGATCTACCATTCTACAAGAAAAACAACCTGCCCCAAATCCTTACCACGACAAACCCCATTAAGAGAGTGCTCTTCTCATACTACCCGGAGGCTGTGGACGCCTTTAAGTTTGCCATCGACACCATCAATCCCCCACCTTGACACCGGCAAGGTGCTTCGTACTGACCACTCGGCCATGTTATATTTTGGCAGCCCTCTAACCCCCTGCAAGGTGCTTCATACACCGTTAACCCCCTACAAACTTTCGTTGTTGTTTCTTGCCGATTTGAATGGTATGTCCACTGTCCCCTTCCTCTAAACATTGAACTTCATTTTCCTAATTATTTGGATGTTTGTAGAGGTTATGATTTCTCGTGTTTGGTATTTCAGTCCATGTTTGATTTTTCATGTTTTCCTCTTGTCCATGTTCTCATCAATAAAACAAGCATCATCTTCTTTACAATTTGAGGACCTATACCACACATTCTGATTGTTGGATATAGTTTGCATCCAAGATCTACCGTTGGATCTCAAAATCAGCCATTGTTTGCAAGTATGAGTAATTTGGACCATTTGATCAACTCAGTGGCTCCTGAATATCAAATAATAATGTCGCACCAAATCACCTATATGGTTCTTTCTTGAAACACGCCACCAAACAATCAACCATGAGGAAATGTTTATTTTTGTTGAGTTGTAAAGTAACTTTATGGTTTATTTCTTGAAACACCTAAAAAAGGCCCAAGTAAACAAATGAACAAGAAACATTTAAACTAAGTATGTTTTTGGTTCTATGGGCGTTTATGGATAGGTTGTTTATTTGTATTTTTTCACTTTAAACGTTTATTTATACTTTTTCACTTTAAATGTTTCATGTTTTTGTTGTTTGGTTGGATTTCACTTTAAACGTTTTTTTACTCTCCACCTCCGATTAATACCCATTAAAGTGTGTTGCATCAGTATTTGGTTTCAAGAAACGCTGGGATGTTGGGGGAAACAAGAATTTGACGTTTCCCCCAAATGCCCCATGCACAAAAATCAAAGTGTTTCAGTTTTCTACCATTTATTTGATAAACGGTGAAATCAAACAATTGTTTCATATGCAATAAATGCCAATGCCTATGTGGTGCTGATGTGGTAGCATTTTTTCAATAAACACCCACGGAACCAAATACAACCTAAGTGGGTGTTTTGCATCAATGCCATTTTTTGAGAAAATGGTGTCACGTAGGTGCTACATTAGAGAAAACAGTGCTTCAAACAACACCCTCTTGTTTGGTACCATTTTTATAGAAAAAATGTTGCTCTATACCATGTCTTGGAAATCGGGAAAGCGTGGTCTAAAGTAGGGGTGGCAATTTTTCACCCAACTCGTTGAACCCACCCAATATCTAACCCACCCAATCCGCCCATTTAAATGGGTTAGTTTGGGTTGGGTTGTGGATAACCATTGGGTTAACCATTACAAACATAAGTATTAATGCCTTAGCCTTTTTTTTTTATTTTCTTCATTTGAATTAAATAATTTATAATTAATGCATTAATTTTCTATTAATTATTGACTAAACTTAGTTCTGTCTTGAATCAACACACTTCACCCAACATAAATCCAAATCAATTTGACCCAAGTTTGGACCAATTCAATGCGGTCTAACCCGATCTAGTATATACTGATATGGGTCGACCCGAATCCGAAATAGGCCTTGGGCGGGATGGCTCAGTACCGTTTGCTTTGCCCCGGTTTAGGTCATCCAGTCCAACCATTATTCACACAGCCCGACTCGACCCGACACAAGTTGATCCTATCAATCTGAATCCGAAACGGCTTGGGCCAGGTGGGGTCTGAACCCTAAACCACTCCGCTTGCTTTGCCCAATTTGGATAGTCCTGTTCGGTCTGTAATTGTACAACTCGACCTAAATCCGATCCGGTCCGATTTACTTATTTTGACCCGCTTTGGGCTAGTCGGTTTGGCCCCAAACCCATGTGCAAGCCTAATATGATCCGACCCAAGTCAATCCACCATTTGACTGAACCGGTCTGGTTTGGTCCAATCGAATTGAACTGGTTCGATAAGGGTCCGATCCAAACAATTTGAACCGATTCGGTCGGGGTCTGATCCGACCAGATTGATCTGAATCTAAATGGTTCAACCACTCTTGATGTGATTAGATCGAAGACAATCCAATTAGATAGTTTTAGTTGGTGTAACCAGTTTAAACCTAAGTGGTGTTCATCAAATCCAAAACCCGAACATAGTTACATGGCTTTGCTGCTTGTGTAAAAATAACATGCATATAATGTGATTTGAACCTTCACCACTTATATAAATAACAACCACTATTACCACTAAGCTATGACAAACTTATTTGCTAAGGAGTTAGTTTTTTGTTTTAAGTACATAAATATAAGATTAATGGGTTTGGGCAGGTTGGATTGGGTTAAAATGGGTTTGGGTTAAACCCAACCCATTTAATTTTATATAAATGGGTTATTAACGGATTGGCGAGTTAAATGGGTTTACTCAACCCAAACCAAATCCAACTCAACCCACCCAATTGCCACCACTAGTTTGGAGCAATACCAAATTCAATGTTTTTTTGAGGAAACGATGCATTGATGCCAGTGGTGCAATGATGTGGCATCATCTTAGACGTTGGATAATATAGATCATGTTGAAAACGTTGCTGCCAGCACTAATACCAAATAAAACTAGTGCTATTGTCTCAAAAAACAGCGTATGTGGCAGCATCGGTTCCAAACAAAAAAATGAGAAAATGATGCTTACAACTACATGCCTAGCACCGTTTTTTCTCATAAAATAGTGCAATGTTCCCAACACGAATGCTAAACACCTACTAAGTATGTATTTGGTATAACTTCCGTTTATTCACTAAACGTTTGTACTTGATTTGTTTGCAAAACTGAAAAAAGTAATAATGAAATAGTTTATTGACAACTAGGCACCATTAACACCATATCGGCATAACAGTGAATAAATGCCTAACCATTGGGGGAAACTTCATTTTAACTCTTCCCCCAACAGTAGGTGTGTATATAAGTCAAGGCCAGCTTTTGCAAGTTTCTATGCGTACGGATCAACATGATGGGCTAAATGTTGAAGTGGCACGTATGTGGCAGCGTTTATTGAAAAAAAGCCCACGGTTCCAAACACTGCTTATGTGTTTTTCTAATAAATGTTTATGAAAAAAAATGCACCCCCAATAAACACCAACCTACCAAACATATACAAAGTTGGGGGTGTCACTACCCCTAAGAACAGGTGGTTGTATCTAATTTACTCAAAAAATAATGGGAAAATTCCTGATTAGTACTCTATACTTTGGGCCTAGTGCCACTTTGGTCCCCAAACTTTAAAACACTACAATTCTATACCCGAACTTTCAAAACGTGCCAATCTAGTACCTGCCTTCAAGGTTAAAAATATTGATACGCCTGATGCGTTAGTAGGGGTGTATCGGGCGATATCAATAGTGTTTTTTTTTGTTTTTGTTTTATTTTTTTTCAAAACTAGTTTAGCGGNGGGGCAATTTAAGACTCCTCCATCCCCTGAAATGGTCAGAACCCCGATAAGGGATGTCTTTTCAAATGCCACTTAAACAGTTGGGTTAATGGACTAATTAATGGCAAGTACCGGATTGGCACATTTTGAAAATTCAGGTATTAAATTGTTGCATTTTAAGGTTCTGGGACACCAAGTGGCATTAAGCCCAAAGTAGAGGATACTAATCGAGAATTTTCCCACAAATAAAAATAAAAAGAATGTTAATCTTCGGGTGAATGCGAAGGGGAAGAAGCCATATGACTCAGAAGAATGCGCTGGTGAAGAAAGCGTAAAGTCGTAGGAGGGAAGACGAGAGACATACAGAAGATGGCGCTAGCCGTCTCTGCTATTGTTCCTTTAAGATTTCAGGTACTTAAGCAATTCTCTTGCATTTTTTTTTTTCTTTTCTCTTGCATTCTAAAGCAGTGGGAGGATAGTGTTGTAACAAAACTATTACTTCACAGAAGATTTATATGAATTAAACATTAAACTCTACTCTACTCCAAGAGAAAATGAATGAACTTGAAGCTTGGCAGAAAAGAAAAGGTCTTCTGTAGACTTCAAGTGACGTACATTCAGACCTCCTTCTCTCATGGAGAACCCTTCAATTCTTCCTCCTGTTTTTTTTCTGGTTTTACCATCCTATATAGTGCTTCTGTAACAAGGACAAATAGGAGAATGGCAGAGGTTCAATTTGTCTTAAGCCCCTGAAATTGTGAAAATAAACCAGCCGATGTACCATCAAACAGAATAAAATGGATTTTATCCTTATTGCCAGTTCAGGTACTGTATATCTTATTTATGGTGTATTCCATACATACGCACAAGTTCGATATCATAATAAATCATTGCAACTCCTAATCCTAATTTAAACCCCGACCACATATAAACTCTTTTCCAGTTAGCATTCTCTGCTGTGGGTCTTATCTGTACTTATTATGGTTAATCCAAGTAAGGTTTTCCCTTCATTCTAAAGGTTCTCAAATATTTACTATTATCAGAAAAGCATAACATTACAGTTTTGTGAACACTTGTAAATAAGTTTGTAAGAATATTATGTGATTTTCTTATTGCTTATGGAAAATTCGTTGATGCCTATGAAGAAGTGGGGCATGGGTTTTAGACACATTATGTGACTTGGTTGGGGTGGACAATGTGCAGGCATGAGGAAATCAAGCATAGAAAGGATGGGATTTTTTTTTTTTTTTTGGGGGGGGGGGGTTGTGAAGACCAAATTGTATTAATATGAAAGAAACAAAAAATGTAGAAATTTACTACCATGTACAACTAACATCTCCAAAAGGAAAAACTGAGGAAAAATTACAAAACAATGATATCATGGGTAAGAAGAAATTTGAAAAATGATCAAAACCATACAAACAAGAAAAAGAGCCATAATGAAGAACTGAGAACCTGGATTCAAGCATAGAATATTGAATACATTTAACACTTTAACTGGTGACTCCTAGTTATTAGAGGTTTGTTGGACCATCAGTCTTGGAATTTCCCATGTAACAATGATGTATGCATTATGAGGGAGCAGAATCTAGGCAAGGCAAATCTACTTGGGTACATCTATGTCTTTAATTCAACTTTGGAGAAATTGTATTTGCAATATTTTCTGTTGGTAAGAAACTAAGAATCTTCATGAATTGTTCTCTAACCATGTGCGATTGGCCACAAAACAGAAAGCCAACATGGGAATCAATGGGAGCAGTGTTTTCCTCCTATATTTTCTTTTAATCCATATTGCCTCTCCTAGTCATGGCTTTATGCACTGATTAGTTGGGATGCACTTCTGAACAGCTCTCATATATAAAGATCTATATATGCTACTTTTAAAAGAAAATTGGTGGTTCAAATTTTCTTGATGATCAGAGCAAAAAGTACAACCGGATGGGGAACAGATCAACTATGAACCATCAAGTCCTGTTTGTGAAACACTTGAGGGAATAATCTCTTGGTAATTAAGATTTGTTTGTAATTGATTTTTTATTAGTAAGAGTAGATTTTATTAAAGACAAACTTTAATGTTACATCGAGGTGGGATAATTCTCCACCCCAAACAACCAAGAGATTACAATTTTGCTCAAAACATTTCCTGTCTTAAAGCCCCTTGTTTTTTTGAAGATAAATAAAAAATAAACTTTTTAAGTGAAGAAAGAAAAAGAGGATACAACTAGGTGATAAGAAATCACCCATTAAATAACAGACTCAACGTATAACAAACCCGCCCTAACAATTTTAACCCCTTAAACAGAAAATCAACCCTACAAACAAGCCAAGACCTTAAGAAAAACAAACCCAGATACAACTAGAAAAACCACAACAATATTGTGGAGACCCCTTCCACCAATCACGAGAAAAAAAAAACACAAAACTGCAGATCCAAACCCTTCTGACCCCTGCCAATAAACGCAGAAGAAAAACACCCTTATCCCCACCAAAAATATTCGACGAGATACGCAACTCAAGCTTTATCCATTTTCTCATTGTATCCACTGTCTAAAATAGAGCTCTCACTTCTCATCTGAGAGGCTTTATTTATCTTCTTCCCCTTCTTCTTTAGTCCCGCTCCAAATACTCCCAACTTTAACTTGGCAAAGGCTTTTGAAATTTGCACCATTTGATTGGTTTTCTGTCTTCTAAATCTTGTTACTGCATTAGGAGTTTTCTCCATCTTTGTATAAGCCTCCCTTGTTTGGCTAGAGTATTCACCCATCCCATTTGTTGTTCTTCTCACCCATTTAAAAGTAATTGTTAGTTCCCTTGTAGTTCTTTCAATTTCCTGAAGGATATCTCTATGGATCCATGAGATTTAGTTACTACATCTTGTCCAAAAAATGACCACTTGAGAATCCCCTTCCACCTCCAAATGATAAAATCCAAATTTCTTAGAAAACTTTAAAATATGGAGTAGCCCAAACGGTTCTGCTTTCAATGTATCACTATGCTCTAAAGGTCCTGAATGCAAAGCTAGTGCAAGGACTTCTGAATCTTGGAAACACCTCCTAATCCAGCCATGCCTTGACTACCTATAAAACTTCCATTGAGGTTAACTTTTATGTAGTTGGTTATCGGGGGTCTCTAGTCCATGAGTTTTCATTCCTTTCCTTGAGCCAAAAGCACCACCTTTTTTTTCCAGTTTCTCAAAATACCATTCAATGAGAAAGCTTGAAAGGCATCCAAAGTCTTCACCCAATGTGTAGCTTTAATTTTGTTGTGTCTATGATTTCCACTTTTGGTCTACTCTTTTCATTAAAGATTCTTCCATTTCTTTCTTCCTAAATAGTTTACATCAGAGCCACCCTTACTGCTTTCCACAATAACCTTCCCCTTTTCTTTGGTTGTCTCAAGAAGTATGGGTCAAAGAGACCCATTGCATCCTGAGGAGGAGTCCACTTGCTCCCAAAGAAAGAACAAAGATGCTTTCAAATACAAAGTACAAAAGGATAGGATATAAAAATATGGGAAATTGTTTCATCATTGTCTTTACAAAGGAAGAAAATATGAGGGGATGGGCACTTGTTTGACCTTCTTTTATGTAGTACATCAAATGTGTTAATCTTTCCAAGGAAGACTTCCCAACAAAGGGCCCGAATTTTAGGAGGGGTTGGCTTACTCCAAATTTCTTTCATAGGGAAGTGCACTCCCAAGATACCAAGCTATATTAAAATATTAAAGAAAGAAGCACGGGTAAAATGGCCATCTAAGGAGATTGACCTCGATACAAAAGAGGAGATTGACCAAACCCTAGTGTCTTTTGTGCTCTAGCCAAAAAGACTCAAGTCAAGTAAGGCCAAAAGATGAATGAAAGATGCACATTCCAATTCTCTAAGATCCCTTCTAAACCCAAAGTCCCAATTTAAATCGAGGCAGAGAAACCCACAAATTTAGAGATGGTTTGGATTTGTAGTTGGATATTGCATAAAGCATAGGAAACTGGACCTTCATTGGATATTCACCTTTCCAGAGGTCCTCCCAAAACAAGACTCTCCACATCAAAGTGAGTATGATTGAGAAATAAAGGATATACCTCATGTATAGCTTTCCAAGGGGAAGTTGAAGTTGCATTTGATGCTACCTTTGCATCCTAGTTGTTATTTGACTGTCCATGTATGCTTTCAATAACCCTGTGCCAAGGCCTTTCTCTTTCTAAAGGAAATCTTCATAACCACTTTCCTAGGAGAGCTAGATTCTTTTGGATCAAGTTTCCTAACCCAAGCCCACCATTCTCTTTAGATCTACTAACCTGTTCCCATTTTACCAAGTGGTCTCTCTTCTCATCCCTTTGTTCCCATAAGAAGTCCCTTATTAACTTTTCTAGCTGCCTGGCTATTTTGGTGAGGATACAGAAAGTGGATAGAAAATAAATAGGAAGATTAGCCATGGTTGCTTTGATCAAGGTTATCCGCTTCCCGTTGAAATGTAATTTCTCTTCCAAAGTGTCAATTTTCTAGTAAATCTTTCCACTACAGGTTTCTAGAAACTCTTTGATCTTGGATTTCTACCCAAGGGGAGTCCTAAGTGCTCTAATGGCCAACTTTTGAATGCATACCCCAAGGTCTTTGTTTTGTTTTGATAAGTAAAGAATCATATTCCATTAATTCAAAGATCCGTTACATGAAAATCCCCTTAGAGAGGCACGAGGTGCTGCCTCTCCATACAAAAAACACAAAAACTACATCAAAAAGTGCATGACTGTTAAAAAGACACAAATTACAGTTGCACCCAAAACAATGTTTCCCTGTTTGTCCCTTGTTTTGCCAAGACATCAGCAAATGCATCAGCTGATCTCCCAACCCACTGTATTGTTACAGACATATTCCTTGTTAGCCATTTGAATTTCTTTATCTCATTCTTGTAGTTCCACGTGACATCCTCCGGATTATTTAACCAGTTCACCATTGTCTTAGAGTCCCCTTCAACCAAAAGCTGTTCCACACCCATTTCTTTTGCAAGAATTATTCCTTGTATTGCAGCTAACAGCTCTGCCCGAATAGAGTTCCCAACACCTAAAGGGCCAGAGTATAGTAAGATAGCCTCTCCAACCTCATTCCTTAGTACACCTCTCAATCTAGAAGGACCTAGGTTGCCCTGGCTACTTCCATCAAAATTCAGCTTCAAAGAACTGTGAGGAGGGGGGACCCAGCTTGTCATTACCTTTACCTTTACCTTGGAGGAGGAACAGCTTGCTACTGATAACCAATCCCTTCAACAATCAGTAAAGGAGAAATGATCAAACAAATCCAGAGTCTTAAACCAATGTATTGCCCTATACAAAATGCAGTCCTTCAAGGCCTGACTGTTCCTTCCTTTTTCCTAAAAGATCCTGACATTCCTTTCTTCCCAATCTGTCCATAACAAGG